GGGATTCGAACCCGCGAACCCGCATATTGCGAGTCGAGTGTCCTAACCACCTGGCCATGCCGGGCCTTTTAGGATTTGTTTTGAATTTCGCGCAAAGCTGTTTCTAATTTAGCAATGATGTGTGTGTATTTTATTATAGCCAAGCCACATCGGGCTATCTGTTGTGTCCATCAAGGGGAATCGAACCCCTGATTGTAGTGTTGCAATTCCGAAGACTTACTGCTGTCCCACCGGGGAACTTTAGCAGTGATAGGTTAGAGAGAAGGCAACTAGTTAACACCACCCACCGCCAACTCTTGCGCTATTATCAACGAATTGTGAGATTGACCGTCACATTATAACGCCCACAAGAGAGACGTTCGATTTAAAATGTAGGGCCAAGGCATTTTGATTAGAAACCTGTGAAACTGATAATTATTGCAACTGTAAACAGACGATTTATAGGTAGAACTGTCATTATCATAGTTAGAGTAAGTAAAAAAAGGCTACAAATGGCGTGGTATGAGAACTGAAATAAGGAATAACGGGCTTGAGGACTTAGACAATTAGAGCTGTAACAATATAAATTGAAACTGAAATTGAAAAGAAAATAAATGTCAAATTAAACTTAGTTCGGTCCCATGGATTAATTTAACAAGACAGAAAAATAGCCCTAATCTAAAAATGGATAGCAAAAGCTTTTACACGTTTCACTTCACAAACAAGGGAGATATAAATGTAAAGTCTTTGTTGCTCTAATTTTGTGATTAAGATCACTGAAAAAATAATAAATGAGTGCGAAATCTAGAGAGAAAAATGACACGAGACAACCTATCAGTTAAAAAGTAATTGATAAGGTTATTGTGATGTAATGGATGACTCCATAGAAGCGTAGTTTCACTTGAATTGGAAGCAGTTACACAACGCAACGTCCTTTAGGATTGCAACAGATCCAACTGCTAAGAATCGCCATCATATGAGCACAGTCCTAAAGAACCATCACCATAAGAACACAATCCTGAAGAACAAACACCATCAGAGCACAATCCAGAAGAACCATCGCCATAAGAACACAATCCTGAAGAACTACCACCATAAGAGCACAATCCTGAAGAACCACCACCATATGAACACAATCCTAAAGAACAACCACCATAAGAGCACAATCCAGAAGAACCATCGTCATAAGAACACAATCCTGAAAAGAGCTTCTATAATAATTCTGATATCGCTCATCAGTGGATGCTTTCTTTCATTTTTGAAGTAATTGTTGGAAAATCCAAATTTATCCAACAAAAATGAACATCACTCTTCGTTTGAGAAAAAAAAGAAAAAAGAAAAAATCTAGAGTTAAACTAGCCAAACTAAACCAAGGGAAGGAACGAAAAGTGTATGATAGCTTTATTTTTGTATCGTAGCGTGAAAGTTGAGGAAGGCATTACTAACAAGACTATTCTCCTTGTTTTCAGTGCTCTATAATTTCAGAAGAGAATCGTAGTACTGATTTTTATATTTAAACAGAATATGGTGTTTAAATAATATACAATTCAGAATTCTGTAAAAATATGTAAGGAAACATTAACATCGCCAGTAAAAGTACAGATGCTTCTAAGTATGTTCAAAAAGAAGGTAAAACAGACAAAACATTATGACTTATTTGCAGATAGATAAGCGTAAATACCTGTGGAGCATAAAATGGTACAGCTTTAGAAAGTATTAATCACAGGGCTTACTTAACATACAAAACTGTACGTGTTATAGAATGGAACAAGTAAAGAACATACTTATGGTCAATATATTCATGATGTTAGAAAAACACGTAGGTTCAAGAAGTCTTGACAGAAATGAATAAAAACCGAGCGCTTTCGAAAGGTGGACCTTTCTTCTTCAAAATATGGTCCATATATTTTATTGATTAATGACAGGTAAGTAACAAATGACCTTATCAACCATGAACTCACCTGGTTGTATGATGTTTTTTTTTAATTCAGTTTATTTCTTACCCAATGATAGAGCACACAAAATAAGACTAAAGAATAGTTGGACAAACACAAAAAACGAATATTTTAGGAAATCACCATTCTACTTTCTCCTTCAAGTTATTTTTCAACACATACTTTCACTTTCTTCATCTTCATTTGGCTTTTGCCAACTGCGAAGACTTCGTGTTCTTTCTAAACTTCGGGTCACGTGAGTTTTCGCAGACGTGATGAAGATGTCCGCCCTCTCGTTGTTGACGTCTGTACCCATGGATACAGGCGAAAGTGGAGCTACTGCGGTCATTTTTCCAAGCAAGAGTTACTGCAGGCGTGTCTTCATATTAACTGGTATCTCAGGCGTGTAGCTCTAAATTTCCTGTACATAAAAACAGGACAGATCGTATTTAATTATTTCTACTGCAACTACAACTTATTATATTGTATCTTACGAAGGCATCCTACCTAAATGTGGTCGAAAATCTTCATTTGCGATTTGAAATATTTTAACACTTGAACAAACAAAAAGACTTACTGAAATGGAATGAAAATACAATGGACTAGTGTCGATCTCTAGCTTTACTATAGGCCAAACTCGGTAAGTCCACACAACAGTTATTGGATAGCTGGACCCCTACAGTGGATAACGGTTTAACTGGATCGACACTTATAATGAATATTGGTCAATAAGTGTTTTATTAATCCGGGCCAACCCTTAGAAAGCTATGTCACGAACGTCTACTTTTAATGGACATTTTATCCTTTTACTATTACACACAGGCCGAGCCAAACTGACCTATAACTATGGTCATTGGTCGAGGGTGAGCTCTTTATTGAATATCAATGGAAATAAAACAATTTCCAAGCGGATAAATATTTAGCCAGGTCGAATATTTACCCTGGTCATTGAATGATTAACTTAACTACAGATATACTCCAGGTGGATCTCCATGCATATATGGCTATCAAACTGACTCAGCCCTCTTTCATGACAATTGCTCAAAACTCGACTGCTAAGTCAGTATTAGTCGAAAAGGATTCCCCCTTATTTGACTATATAGTTCATTGAGACAGACCTTATTTTAGCTATTTATGAAATTTGATGGACCATCACTATGACTTTGATCGACTTGTAATTGACTGTAATTACACTGGCCAACAAGTCATTTTCATCAGATATAATCATAGGTGAAAACAAGTATGTTATAGGTCAAACCACTAAGGAGTTAATATATATATATATAATTGTGGATACAGCGTTTCGGGCAATGCCCTTCTTCAGGTATCATTAACTGAACAGTAAATCCGTAAACGAAAACATTCTAAATTGAAGGTCGCGTGGCGTGACAATGTAACAAATATACGTGTATAACAATGCTTACAAACAATTGAAACAATAGAAAGTGATAAATATATATATATATACATACAAACAAGAGCAGGCACACACACATATCTATACATCCATATATGTACTAGGGAGAAGGTTGGATGATCTACGATAGAATCAAGGGTGGTTTAATATCTAATTTCTATTTGTATGGTTTTTTTAGGGATAACTATCATACCCACAATCGGCTATAGACGGTGAGTGATAGTGGGATCTGGGACGTTGTGGGTTCTAGCACCCAGATCCTAATCCCCCCCTTTATTTTTTTGGTTCCATGCTGACTAGCTCTGCATCTGTTGTTTTGATTATGTCTGATAGACGGAATATCCCCAATGCTTTTGGGAGCTATAACCGCAGATATTTTCACTTTAAAATGATACCTTTTGTACAAATGGTAAAATTTTACATTGTTATATTAGAACTTTGTTGGCGCGTTCACTTACTTATTGGCGCGTACATCTACACGTACAATAAATAAATTGTAGGTTATATTACACACACACACACACATATATATATATATATACAGATACACTCAAAGTATTATACAAATACATACATACACATATACAAACGCATGCGCGCACACGCACATACATATATGAGTATATATATGCGTTTTAGTTTAAAAAAATCGATACATAATTTACTGTATAAAACTTTTTAAGAAAGGATAAAACTAAAACGAGAAATATTACAAAAAGCTAAAAACATTCATTTAGTCCATCGGGGTGGAAAGTTCCCAGGTCAAAAATTATTTTGTTTTCTTGTACTTCGCGGTTATGTTTGTTTGTAGGGGCCTTCTTCAAAATTCTTGTTTGTTACATTTTCACGTCACGCGACCTTCGATTTAGAATGTTTTCGTTTACTTGGCTAGTTAGCTCTTGGGACGCTGATTCCAAATCTGTTTTTGGTTTTCTTCTATCACGTCAAGTTTGCGTGATGAGACCGATCAAAGTTGAAAGGTTATTGCCTTAATTATAATTTGTGTTGTTGTACATTTCTTTTTTACATAAGTGTGTAGTGTATAAATTTAACCAAATGTATGGTGTGTGTAACGTTTATGGGAATCGTACTGAAAAATGAATAAAGTTGTAACGTTAACTAGCTTAATGTGTGATTATTACCTAAATTGTGCTGAAATTAACATGTGCTAGAAGAAAACCGAAAACAGATTTGGAATTAGCGTGCAAAACTGGTCTGTAATAGTGTGTTTAAATCTTTGATTACAGAAAAAAAGTTCGGTTTTGTCGACCTGTGTTATTTAAGTTAATCAAAATGATACTACCGAGTTGATAAAGTGTGAAAAATACTAATTAATGCACGAAAAAAGAGGAGTTAGGTGTAGTTTGACCAAAACAATATCTGCCAGTAAGTACTTCTTCAAGTTTTTTTTTTTAATCTCGAGTTTTAATTTCTTTCGTATCTCTTTGAAGAGCTATCAGACAAACCACGATTTAGAAATTGTAAAGAAACCTTATCTCATTTATCTGTTAGGTTTTGATGAAGTCAGTCATCAAGTAATAACTTTATGCTGACGTCTGGTGGCAAGAAATAAAAACAATTTTTACAAAGTTTGTTTTGAATTTCGCACAAAGCAACATTACATCATTTTCATTTAGACTTAAAAATAATTAAGTAAATTAGAATGTATTACTTCGAAGAACAGGCATAAACACTTCTTGTGTTAGTACTAAAGTATCAAGGGATATCCAGCAAGTCGTTAATAACTGCAATACAAAGCAGTTAGTTGACACTAAATATATTTTTATTATTAACAGCTTTTTCTCAATGCATTATAAGTAACAGTTTGTGGAAACCAATATTAATCATATTGTTTTTCCCTAAGATTTCTACTCTCTTAAACTTACCTAAGTAAGGAACTTAGATATTTTAGTACATCCTTCAGAACTTCAAGGGTCACACTTGGTCATATTGAATGGATAATATACGTCGTCCTTTCTCGTCTCCACCACCTGTAGGTTTCATAGTTCTGGTTTAAGCATTCATAAAACAAGTTATTATACACATTAAATATACCAACTGTATTTACATTCCGATTAATATGTATTGTTAACAGGACATTCTAACAAGAAACTGATGAGCAATATGTACTATTGGGTAGTCCAGAAGGTGCGTATGGTAATATAGATACGCTTATTCGTAAATACAGTATTAAAACGAAACGTCACTACGCTGTTGGGAGTTAACATGTAAGTTTAAATGATTTCTTCTAAGTACTCTTATCGATTAGTCTGAAATAATATGAAACGTATTATGTCTTCGATTGACATAATTAATTCCTCAAGAATCATAATGACATCCCATACGAGAGTCTGCCAGTCTGGCTTACGTATTAAAATGTATTAATCTATATTAACTATTAATCTAAACACACATTGACTTCGAATGTCCGCGTTAATAAATCACAAATTTTCGCTGAAAACACTTCTTGAATAAGTCTATTCGAAATGGATCTGTTCTACAGTTAAAAAGGACTGAAAGAATAAAATTATGATTAGTATATGCGTTATATATATATATATTTATATTCTAAATTGTATTATTAACAAATCTATCCAAAATTGAGCTATTTTAAGATATTATAAATAGCTCAAAAAACTGAATTGAATTGTACAATTTTTATTACTTAGGCATTTTGTTCAAGAAGTGGATAGACTTTTTATGGACCTCTTCTGCCGTTTTAAGCGAGTTTTTCAAGTATAAACTTTTAGCTCATAGCTCTGTCATCTCTTCACCGATTTGAGATCCAATTACAGTTTTTGAACTCAGGGGGTCAAACCCTTTCGATTGATGTATTTGACCACGCCCAAGGTCTCATTGATTAATTTACTCAAATCCTGCATAAAAGAATTTCAATTTGAGGGTAGGCTCCTAGAAATACTGATGAATAATAAAATCGAATCGGGTATACGCGCCCCACAGTTGGCATTGCTGGTGCACAAAAATATAGCTAATAAAAAAGAAAAAAAAAAGGTCTCATATTTAATTTACTGTAATTCTGCCTAAAAGAATTTCATGTGCCGCGGCTATTGTTGCCCTCTTGTTCTTCGTTTCGAGATGACGTTTCAGGCTCCATTCTGACTCTGATGAATTTAGCATGAGCCCGGTTTGGTTTGTTACGAATTTCGCGCAAACCGACACGATGGCTATCTGCACTAGCCGTCCCTAATTTAGCAGTGAAAGGTAGCTAGTCATCACCACCCACCGCCAACTCTTGGGCTACTCTTTTTACCAACGAATAGTGGGATTGGCCGTCACATTATAATGCTCCCACGGCTGAAAGGACGAGCATGTTTGGTGGGACGTGGATTCGAACCGGCGACCAGCAGAATGCGAGTCGAGCGCCCAAATTACCTGGCCACGCCTGGCATGCATGGGTCCGAATCATCATTTCGAAACCAAGAAAAACGACGGGAGAGGTCTGTAAAAAACACTCAGTCCACAAACCGTTATCAAATTTATTGGATGAACGTTTCACTATAGTTGACTTGTTGTCGAACCGGTTCATCCTTTTATTATTATTATTAGATAATGGAGAAGTCAAACTGGCCTATAAATATGGCCACTGGCCGAGGGTGGGCTTTAGTGGATATTAATTGAAATGGAATAAATCCAAAGTGGCTAAATATCTAACCAGATCAGACATTTACCCTGGTCTTCAACCGATCAAGTCATCTCCAAATTTACTCTGTATATTACACCTCTCATTCAAGTGCTATTCATACTATTCCATGGATTCCGTGTGATTGGACTGTTGAAATTGGCGTTGGGAAACAGTGGTTCTCGTATAACAGATGAATTATAGAAAACTGGGGAGGAGTCGTATGCTTTGAACATGTTATCTTTACGACAAAGCCTTTTAGCAATGGAAGCTACTCTGCAGAGCTATTATCAAGATACAAGGTCTT